TACTTTGCATTAAGGTTTTTTAAATTCATGTTATCCTTGATTTTAAACTTGTTATGACACTAATTCGCTTTTTTAACCATTGTTTTCATTCTGTTAAGTGAAAACATTAATTACACATTTATTTACTTGTTTATTTATTTATTCATTTATTTATTCCATCCTTTTAGAAGGAGGGGGGCGTGCCCGAAGGGGCGTGAAAAAGAGGAGATCAGGACTGAGTTTATCTTAGGCACGCTATAAACAAGTGGTATAGATATTTATGCGGAAGCGGTCTACTGCTCTTGAGACTCAAAGCGTGCACATTCCATTGCAACGTCTTTGGGTGCCATGTTTTGAAGGAAAAGGTCAAAGTGACATTGGAAAAAGATTGTTTTGAAAACTGTTCTTTTGACAACTGCCTGTATAACCAAGGAAAGCAAGACAGACACCCCCACCCCCGTTCAATCTTTCCCACCTGGCAGCCTGTCTATTGAGTAACCAGCCAGGTAGTCTACACGTGTGCAGCAATTTACTGTACTGCCTTACAAGTTTTCGCGCATTGCATTCCCATTTACCGCAAACGAGCATTTTTCCTGCAACAAAAGTAGGCGAAAGAAATCTGAACAAATATTCAGGTTAGCCGATAAAACGTTCAAACGCGCGTAACAAATTAAATTTAAGGCGATCTCGTAAGAGCTGTTTTGGAGCCGGGAGGTCACTGGTAAGACTCGCTTCTTAACTACTCTACCTCTGTTGTTCACTCAATCGCGTTTCGTGTGGATGGTTCCAATACAGAATAGACAGTGAGATAGATAAAAATCGATTCAAAATCAATTTATTTCACCCCCACCCCCTTTTCCCACTTCATATCGATGTTCTTAAGATAAATTATAAGAATACGGGTTGCTTCGTTCCTCATCAGCGAAACCCAGCCTGAGCTGAGTGGGATACGTCATCCCACCAGACAGACGGAAATACTGGATTCGATACACCAACTTCCCCACAGATGAATCGAACTTGCGTCCCTTGCGGTCAACAGCGATGCGTTCAGTCATTACACAACAGGAGCTTGTCTGAAGAGATTCTGACCACTGGGGTGAACACTTGGAGAAGTAATATGCATTAAAAAACCGGTTCTTCGGTTGACATAATTATTCTCCATACTAATGGCATTTCCCCCAAACTAGAAGGAGGCTCGGTTTAAACCGGATATATCTGCAAACTGGTGCACCGAAGACCTGTTGAGGGAAAATAAACTTGCCCAGCTCTACCCATCAACAAAAGTGCTCCCCTCGTCTGCCTTGATGCCTTGTGTACTTGAAAAGTGTGCTGTGTACACAGTGTTGTTTAGCGTACCGGATGAGTGGGTCTCACCGGGGATAGGCGTATAGGCGTCAAGGAAATTGCAGACATGTGATAACGAAACACAGACAGTCTGGACAGCCGTTCAATCATTTCCTGCACACCTGTGACAGAACAACCCGCTCCTCCTCTATAATATGTTTAAATTGTGCTGAAAAAGGAACATTAGACAAGCACCTATTTCTACTTTATGGCCTTTATCCTATCGGCTATATTTTGGTAATGAAATAAGGCACACAGTGGTGTGTTACACGTTCGTTATAATAAACATATTTAACAAACTAAATACTAAATTAAGCAATATTGAATATTATTGTAAACTGGGGACACAAAAGAATCTTATTGTATGACCCTGATAAAAAGAATATACAAAAATATTATCTTTATAAAGATAGAAATATTTTTCATGAAAAAAAAAAATATTACAAAATGCATCAAATAAAAAAGAATATAAAATACAATGTAAAGAATATACCAGTAAAAAGAAAATAAAAGAAAAAAAAAGTAGAGGAAAAAAATATAAAAGAACAATATAGTACAACAATAAAAAGCATATAAAAGAAAAACAATGTTGACTAATATAAAATGTCTCACCTGGCTGACTAAGGTTGCACCACTTCTAGCAGTACAAGACAACCATGTGACTGGAATCCTGGGGTTCCCTACGTCACTGGCCATCTTGTGGAAGGAGGCCAGGGGCATGGTGATGACGTTCACGGCGTGGTGGTACTGGTTCTGGTACAAATAATTGCTGTGTTTGGATTTGTACACATTGTCCGACTCCTTCACTTCTACAAACACAGCCTCTCTCCGAGTCATGCAGTAAAGAGACACGTTAGATTTGAAGATACAACTCGGGGGTCTAAAACCTTTGTGCGTGGTGATGAAATTGCTGGGATCTGCCACCGAGTGGTCAAAGAACTTCCGTTTCCAGAAAATTTCTTGCACATGCGCACTTTGCTTGAACTGTAGTCCTCTGGCTGCGTCACGTCTGATGCGCTCAACTCCCGTGACGGCCCACGTGAACTTCTGGAACGTGACCACGATAGTCCGCGTGAGTTGGAACAGCATGTATACCAGAATCTGAAAGACAAAAATGTTATTTTAGCTTTGGTCAGTAGACAGTTTCCTAGCAAGCAAAGGTTAAATTCTAATAGGCTTATTTTCTTTGGGGTATAAAACGAGACTCTCTCTCTCTCTCTCTCTCTCTCTCTCTCTCTCTCTCTCTCTCTCTCTCTCTCTCACACACACACACACACACGCGCGCACACACACACACACACACACACACACACACACACACACACACACACACACACACACACACACACACACACACACACACACACACACACACACACACACACACTCACACAGGGGCGAAGGCTGACTTGTTTGACAGGGTAATCAAAGTGAGATGAGACCAGATAGGGCCTGGGGATATCACACTCACACAAGTCACAAGAATCTTACTGGAGGAGGCAACTCTGAGTTGTGAATGAAAAGAAATCCTGAATTCATGTTGTAAGCATATTTAACCGCTAAAATAATTGGGAAAGTATTTCAATAAATATTTATTCTAACTAACCCTAAATTTAACTTTAGATTTGAATACACGAACACTAAGGAAAGAAGCAGAGATGTCAGTACCACAATGGCATGTTATACCAGACAGTCTAAACACTTTGGTAGAGCATGCCAATTATTAATTTTGTATTTCACATTTGGCTGTTTTTGTCTAGCTTTTCGCGGCCAGGAGCTGGTGTCATAATCGAGGTCACGAGCTGATTATAGGACGTTGAAAAGTCGAGGAAAAAAAAAAGCACTCGCAGCAGTCAAGATATTATTAGGAGTTAGTTCCCCTCATATCTGTGAGGTAGACTCGACCAGTGTCATAGTTAGCTTACATAATCAGCGCGTGTGGCTGCTTATAACTGTCGCTCGAAAGGGGTGAACAGGGTATATGTGGCAATGAAACAGTTTTGACTGCTATGCACACGTTCCCTTCAACTCTATTGGTAGACTCTTCCAGCCTCACTTTAAGCTTACTTAATCAAAGCTTGTGACTGCTTATGGA